AACTACCCCACACATGACTTGGAGTTAGCAGCTGTAGTTTTTGCCCTAAAGCAGTGGCGACATTACCTGTATGGGGAACAATTTGAGATTTTCATAGATCACAAGAGTCTGAAGTATCTATTCACGCAGAAGGACCGTAACTTGAGACAGAGACGATGGATGGAGTATCTTGAGGATTTCCAGTTCACTCTCTCATATCACCTCGATAAAGCCAATGTAGTAGCAGATGCTCTAAGTCGTAAAAGCAGAGGGATGATGGCTAAGATCTCCGTCAAAGAATGAGATATGGTTAAGACACTCAATGAGTTCAGGATCCAAGTGGAATCTCGAGATACAAAAATACATCTTAGTGCGCAGAAGGTGGTGCCTAAGTTAATGAATGAGGTCATGGAGGCCCAGAAACACAATCAAGAGGTAGCCTACATCAAAGGACGTCTAGAATCAGGAGAGCCCATGCCCGATTGGGTAATTCACCCCGATGGGAGTTTAAGATACCAAGGTAGATTGTTTGTACCAAATGACGAGTTACTTAGAGAAAAGGTACTGAAGGAATGTCACCATTCTTTATTTGCGGTGCATCCAGGAGGGACCAAAATGTACCAAGATTTGAAGAGGCAGTATTGATGGAATGGAATGAAGAATGAAGTGGCTAGGTTTGTAGCGAAATGTCTGACATGCCAACAAGTGAAGGCGGAACATCATAAACCAGGGGGAATGTTGCAACCTCTACCAATAGCCGAATGGAAATGGGAGAATGTGACGATGGATTTTGTGACAGGGTTGCCTAAGTCACCTAGAGGGCACGAGCTATATGGGTAATAGTGGATCGCCCCACCAAGTCAGCACACTTCTTACCCTATAAGATGACCGACACTTTAGAGTCTATATGTAGGCTCTACATTGGGGAGATCATTCGACTACATGGAATTCCGGTATCTATTGTGTCATATCGTGATCCACGGTTCACCTCTCGATTTTAGGGGAGCTTGCAGGAAGCTCTTGGTACTGAGTTATGTTTTAGCACCGCCTTTCACCCACAAACAGATGGACAATCTAAACGCACCATCCAGACACTCGAGGATATGTTGAGAGCTTGCGCAATGGATTTTCAAGGAAGTTGGGAATGACACCTACCCTTAATTGAATTCGCCTACAACAACAGCTTTCAAGCTAGCATCGATATGGCACCCTTTGAAGCATTATACAGACGACCTTGTAGATCGCCGATTTGTTGGACGGAGGTGGGTGACGCAAATCTGGTAGGACCCGAACTTGTTCTAGAAACTACTGAGAAGGATAAATTGATCCGACAATGGTTAAAGACTGCTCAGGACCGTCAAAAGAATTATGCAGACAAGAGGAGAAGACCATTGATGTTTGAAGTAGGCAGCCACGTGTTCCTAAAGGTGCAACCTAGGCGTGGAGTCGTACGTTTTGGGAGAAAGGGGAAGCTGTCACCACGATATATTGGGCCTTTTGAGGTATTGGAAAGAATAGGTGAAGTAACATATAGACTAGCTCTACCCCCGCAGTTAGCAGGAATACACAACGTCTTCCATGTGTCTATGTTGAGAAAATACATCGCTGACCCGACACACGTCCTCAAATGGGAAGAGATCAGTCTTGACAAGGATGTTGCGTTTAAAGAAGGACCAGTAGCAATGCAGGATCGTCGAGAAAAGAACCTTAGACGCAAGACGGTTCACTTGGTGAAAGTGCTATGGCGTCATCGGGGAGTTGAGGAATCAACTTGGGAACGCCAGGATTGGGTGAAGGCAAACTACCCCGAGCTTTTCGAAGGCAGTATGTAGTTGAATTTCGGGGACGGAATTGTTTTAATGGGGATAGGTTGTGAAGCCCCTGAAATATATATTCACTTTAAAGACCCTAATGTTTGAATTATTTTCTTAAAGCCCCTCGGTTACTTGAATTATTTCAGATCTTGTCGGTTAGCATTTTATTTTATTTTTAGCAAAACAAGAATTTTTCTAGCCAGATTAGGTTCCCTAACCTAATTTAATTTAATTCTACATGAGTAAGGTTCCAACACATGTATTTAACTCCAAGTCCTCACTCTTTATTTAAATTCAAAACTTACCCCAAAAACTAGTACATGTACCCTTGTACCATATGTACCATCAATCAAGTGAGATATACATATATATACACCTTGAGGAGTGTGCCCTAGAACCTAAATTAATTAAAAAATAGCCCCTTCACCCTTCCCTAGGGCCAGCCAATCTAGGAGGAAG